CTGCAATGCACTCGCCCAGAATAAGGAGACATCAAACCCAGCTACAAACAGCTTTAAAGAAACAAAAAGAATTTAATCATCTAAAGAATTAATCTGACAACTGCCCACACTTACACCTCCCACCAGTCTTCAATCACTTAGAAATGTGCTTTAATCTCCTCTAACTCCCCTCCGGTTTCATAGAATGCTAGATGTGCAGTCCTCAAACTGGGGCATTTCCGGTACGCTGCTTACATTTAAACGTGCTGCCTTTCCAAACGCTGCAGCCCTGGCTTTTGCCGGTTTGTTTTTTCTGGACACAGAGAAACAAAACTTACTGATGTGGGTTGGATGAGTTGTTAAATCTGGAATAGACAAAAATTGCAACAATATATGTGGTAGTGAGCTTGATCTAAGTCAGAACAATAAAAATCACACTGACCATTGCTCGCTGATTTATTTGGTTGTGGGGTGGGGGACGCGAATGCTTATGGGAAAACAACAAGCATAAAATTGGAGAGATTGCTGCTAGAATCCGAAGCATTTCCAAGCTCTCCTTTAAAACCTGAAACTACAAACTGTGCTTGGCAGGGAGCCTATGCCATGAACTTCTTGTTAATAACTCCCCAGCAATTCCATCAATCCCTCCTCTGGACCGTCACCCTTTCTAAGGGCCAGAACAAAGATTTCCAGTCCCGCTGAAGGAATGTTGATGTCTCTTGCAGAGTTCTGTATCCAGTGCACACTCGGTAATCTGAAAGTCAGATCTAATCCTTGGCCTTTCTCTCCCGCCTTCCATTTGAGCATTTCACGGCACTTTACAAACCCCACTGTTAATTATTGCAATCTAAGGTTGTATCTCCACATCACAGCTGAGAAAACCATGGCTGAATTTAAAACCAAATCCAAGGCTTTGTTTCCACTGCAAAAAGGAGGAGGGGGATTGTTTTTGTTTTGTACCTTGAGTTAGGTGTCTCCAGAGAAAATCCTAGTGGAGACAAGACTACTCTAGATACTGATGTATAGTAACTACATGATGTGTGGACACACAACCTGTCCAGAACAACCCATGTCGCAGTGTTCAGAAAGTTAGTGTAGACAGGGCCTAAACCTGGATACGGCTACCCCTGCTTTACTGTTCTTAACATAAGTAGATGCCACCAGCTGAGAGCTTGGGTGGCCACCCAGGAGAGATGCAGGTGCTGCCCAGTTGATTGGCAGAGCGCCCACAGCTGGCAACACGTGTTTCTACTGGTGGTGCACATCCACACATGCCTTGGTGCATGTAACACAATTTATTCTGCACATGGATGGAAAAAAATTAGACAGAACATTGGATGTCACCCCTAGGGCACAATCCAAGGAACAACCCACATTTCAAAGAAACAATAGACGCAGTGATTGTAATTAATTTGGAGAGACTTTTCGCTGAAGGGATTGCTAGTTGTTTGATGTTACTTAAAGTGTTAACCACTACATTGCTTCACACCTTCACCTTTTGAACAGAATGGCTGGTTACTGATTAATGAACAATCTGAAATAGTTAGGGCCTGAAAAAAGCTGTTAGTTGTATTTTGGAGTTATACATTAGACAGCGTTGGGTCGTGAGCACATAATGCTGAAGTAGCAGTCGCCATTTAAAAGCAAGAGTTTTTAATATGACCTACAGAGCCCAGCCCTTTGTAGGTGTGGGGGCTAATTAGGAATCGGAGCCCCATTGTGCTAAGACTAGTGAATCCAAAACAAAGGCCCCAACTCCAGAGAGTTTGCACACTTTAAGTTTGTGGCAAACGCTATGGAATTCTGTTCTGTAAATGCTTATCCCTTCGAAACTTCATTTCACTGACAGAAGCCCCTCAAAGCATCAACCACGCTGGGTAGAAAGAGGTCGCTATCCAGACTCTCATCTTTACTAATGGAATTGCTGACTAACTCTGGATATGCCCACGTGTACACGCATTCTGAAAGTACATGTGTTTAAGATCTAAAATCTCTCATGTTTCTGGTGGCCAACATCCTGTTGGGGGAATTGGTAATGAATAATTGGAAACTGTAGATGACAGGCTAACTTTCCCACAGCTTAATGTGTATATAAGATCTGATAAGGAAGTTCAGGTAAACCTTAGGTTAAGGTCAATTGATCATTAATCAAGCATGCACTTCTTGGGTAATCAAACTGTAAAGTGTTTTCTTCGGTGTGTGGCCCACTCCAGTGTTTTAAGGCCCCGCCTACACGGAGCAGTAACATGTTTTGCTGAACCAGTTTCAACTCTCAGGTTACGATTCTACAAAGGGATGTGTCTTCACTGCAGAGTTCATCTGGTGACTGCCACTCAGGTGATCAGCCCCCGGTTTAGCATAGGCTGGATATGAGAAATCATGCCGAATTACTGCATCCTCACTGGTGCTACTGTCACCCAGGTCTGTCCCTAGGGCTCCAGGAGACCCGGACCATGGTCCTTTGTACTGCTCTGCTGGGAGAATATGTCCACCCTTCCAGGCACCAGGGGGCAGTGGGAGGGTTGGTATTTTGGAAAACCGCCAGTCCTGAAATTGTTTTAGTCTGTTTCCTCACTGCAGAGTGGAGGCAGGTTACTAGCTCTCATGAAAGCCTCACTTGGGTTTTAGCTTATAGCCCGAAGTGAGCCAGCTAGCCTGGGTTCAGAGCACCCCCTAACTCAGGGGTGAGAGCTCGGCATGTGGGTGAGGAGGGAAGTTAGGGGTAACAGTAATCACAGCCCTGGTTAATGCTGCAGTGAAGTGCAGGTCACAGCCCTGGTTAATGCTGCAGTGAAGATGCCCCAACTCAGCCTCATTGGAGGACAAGCTGTTATATCTAAAAGGGAGTTGCGAGGAGGAGGAGGGAGAAGAATCGTTCTCCTTGGCCTCTGAGGCTAGGACAAGCAGCAATGGGCTTAAACTGCAGCAAGGGAGGTTTAGGTTGGACATTAAGAAAAACTTTGTGACTGTCAGGGTGGTTAAACACTGGAATCAATTGCCTAGGGGGGTTGTGGAATCTCTATCCCTGGAGATATTGAAGAGCAGGTTGGACAGGCACCTGTCAGGGATGGTCTAGATTAGGGCTACTCAACATGTGGCCCGTGGGCCTCACACAGCTCGCGGCCCTCGGGGCACTTTGGGTTTACACGGAGCTCAACACGCAGCGCACTGGTGAGATGGTTTGAACACGGCCTCCACTGGGAACATGCGCCACGGCGGCAAGGCGTCTCCCAGGCGGGTGAGCACTGAAAGATGCAAGCGGACGGGCTGGCTGGAACAGACGGGTCCAGGTTGTCGGCGTTTCTAACCCCCAGGGAGGAAGTGCCGGGGCATTGTGGGAAGTGCTGGCTGCTTAGCCTTGTGGACAGAGCCTGCGAGGTGCTGACTGGCTCACTGACCACACTTGGGTCCAGTGCCGTGGCTTAAGGCTTAATCTTTGTATTCATGCCCATCTGTTTGAAAGAGGCTTTTTGCATATGTTTGCATATATTTGCATGTACATGTAACCACACGTAAGTTGCGGCCCTTGGCATGTGCTGTGACTATCCTTGTGGCCCCCGGAGCTTTCAGAGTTGAGTAGCCCTGATCTAGATGGTGCTTGGTCCTGCCGGGAGGGCAGGGGACTGGACTCGATGCCTCTCGAGGTCCCGTCCAGTTCTAGTGTTCTAGGATTCTATGATCCCAGTTCTTGCTGTATGCGACATGGCTGCACCTTGCAGCGTAAAAAGGCTCAAGCCATGTTTTAATTATGCTCCTGCACTGCACTGAGACTGCGTTCCATTGGTTTGGTCTGCCTTGCCGGATGGAAACACTTTTTAACTGACAGAGGTCAGGCGCTTGGAGTGTGGCCAGCTGGTGGTCTCCTCTCTTCTCTTCCCACCCCAACCAAGGACAGGGATTCTGTAACATAGATGGGTGTTCTCTATTGTCTCGGGATTGAGCGAGAAGGGAGATGTAAGCCCTGCCTCTTCGGTAAGTTGATGGTGCTCTGGGTCCCTCTTCCCAGGTAATTGGCCTCTTTGCTGTCTTCATCCCATCTTGTCCTTCATCCCCATCCTAATCACTCAGTCCTTTGTGTTAGAAGTGGCGTTTGGAGGAGGGGGGTTCCTATTACATGTAATATCATTGGCCAGGACCCATCTTTTCCCATGTCCTCTACAAAGGCAAGGAATTACAGTGCCACTCTTTGAACATATAAAGTATTTGTTTGAGCCGATATTCTGAGATCAACCTGCTTATACTGAAGATTCTGTCTCGTGAAGTTTGTAATGGCAGAATGTAACCTTTAAGTTAATCAAACTCACTGTGTGTAAGGTACTGCCCTTGTAAAATAGAGTATAAAGCCTGCATTGTTTTAAAGCAGCTCTACTTCAAAGGGAAAACGGTCTACAAATATTGTGCGAGTTATGTGTAGTTTTTGTACTTTGAATATTGTACTTAATGCTAGCAGAAGGAGGGAGAGTGTTTAAGAACTGGTTATGCAACATCTAAAGCCTTTGGTTAGTCTGGTGAGGGAAAGCGCTAGGTTGATTCAGGTTGTCTCTGCTATAGGTCTCTAAAGCTAAGCTTCTAGAGCAATGAGTCAGTGCAGCACAGAGCTTTGCAGAGAGCCACATTTCATAAAGAATCTCAAAAATGGGGCTGGGGTGACCTGCTAGATCCTGCAGGCTTTGCCTCCGCCCATGCAGCGTTGTACTTCGCAGAACCGTGCTTCGGGCTTCATGATATCCTTGTATTCCCATTCTTTATTAAACTTTATTTCCAAACTTTACACTCTCTGGACCAAGATGAAGCATTACATGCTAGGGTCTGTGGGCCGCACTTGTAAAATGGAGACCTGGGTGGCTTGCATATGTTATGTCTTTCTATCGAGCGGTCGTTGTGTGCTTGCGTTAGCCAGCTTTCACGTGACTGCTCTACAGAACCATTGGCTTTCCCTGCTGCCTTTTCACAAGGCCGACGCTGACTGCGGCGTGGGTCTCCGGTTGTGAAGAGAAACACTCTGGTTTTTTTCCCCTTAGAAGCCGTAAGGATAGTTTAGAGAGCGAGAGCTCGGCAGCTATCATTCCTCATGAGCTGATCCGCACAAGACAGCTTGAGAGCGTCCACCTGAAATTCAACCAGGAGTCCGGTGCCCTGATCCCACTGTGTCTAAGGTGAGAAGAGCTGGTTTCTTTCTGAACTCTGTGCCAGGGGTTTGCAGTTCTGCCTGGCAGTCATCTTGTGCTGGTTTTACCAGCCCAGAGCTGAGACACTTGGCCAAAAACATTAGAAACAGATGGAACCGTCCTCAGACATAAGGAAGAGTCCCATGTAGCTCAGACTTGCCTCTTTCACCAATGGAAGTTGGTCCAATAAAAGATACTCACACACCTTGGTTTTTTTAGGTGCACCTACGTTCATGCCGAAATTCTTCCTTACTCTTTTCGTTTTGCATGTTTTAGGTTGGGAGGTTGAAACAGCGGGGGGAGGGAGGGGGTTGGATCACACTAATGCTGCTAAGCATTTTATCAAACAGAGGGATGGCTCCTAAGGTCCTGTCACAGAAATCCTTTAAAACATTGACTTGTGCATTTATAGGCCAACATTTGCCATCGGCTGTGCACAGAATTTTGTATAGGCAAATTCTGTCACTTGTACACCTGCGTGCTCAAAATGTTGCACGCACACATTATATTGTAGAGATTGTCTCTTGAGACACTGTGCCCAAGGAGGGGGTCAGCGGTTTGATCAGTTAGTGACCCATTTAAATTGACAGAAAATTTAGCTACAAGCTGTACCTCCCTGGTCCGGCACCCTCGGGACATGGCCAGCCCTGACCCAGGGAATCAGCCGGACCAGGGGATGTCAAGGCCGGCTCCAGCGGCAGCAAAGGGGCCGGCATTGACCAAGTAGGGACCTGAAGGGGATGCCGTGAAGCCCTGCCGTCGGGAGCGCACCAAGCCCCCCAGCCGCTGGGCTGCCCTCCGAGCCCTGGCTACTGGGCTGAGCTGCTGCTTTGGACAGAAATTCAAGAGAGTTCCGGCCTTCCAAGTGTCAGACTAAACTGAAGGCTGCTAATTCCTCCCGGGTTAACAATAATCACTTGTGTTGACTACAATAAAGGACACGGTGACTCGCTTAGCAAGCCCCTAACCCATTTCCCCCTCCGAGGTACTGGTCAGGCTCATAGCACTAGAGATTTATCATTTGAATTGTGCAACATCCTCAGATTAAGGGCTTGTCTACTACGGATGTGAAAGGTTAACCGTGAGGGCTAGAGCAGCTCAGGGGCCAGCCCCGGACAAGGGTTCTTCCCCTGCCTCCCACGTTATAATGTTTAAACGGTTAACCAATGAAATGGGATTTTACATCCCCTCTTCCCCTGCCTCCCACGTTATCATGTTTAAACGGTTAAACAATGAAATGGGATTTTACATCCCTGTTGTCTGCATGGGGACATCCGGAAAGGTTCATCCAAGTGACAAAAGGTGTCAAATTTGCAGTGGATTAGTTACATCACATTAAACCCCTGTGTGAACACCTACATTCAGAATTAAGACCACAAAAATGTGAGAGTTTAACTAAGCCACTGCAAAGTCACACTTCTAGCTAATTCAGATTATTTTGCCTGGGTGTCTCATGTAGACAAGCCCTAACTTTGAGGAGGACAGGTAGACTTGTGGCAACTGTGCAGGGCTAGGAAGAGGTGCTGAATTCTCTCGGTGGTGGTTACAGAAGGGCGCACGAGAAGTCACTTAACTTCGACTTTAATTAGCGCCAGCTATAAAATGGGGTTTGAGGAGGACAGGTAGACTTGTGGCCACTGTGCAGGGCTAGGAAGAGGTGCTGGATTCTCTCGGTGATGGTTACAGAAGGGCGCACGAGAAGTCGCTTAACTTAGGCTTTAATTAGCGCCAGCTATAAAATGGGGATAATGTATTTGCATCTCACTGAGGCAGTGAACATCAGGGCCTTTGGGCTGACTTGAGATTCCCCCATAAAAACACCATAATTAAAAAGTAATATTCGTTATAGATGAACATGTATATTTTCTCCTAAACATTTTGTTGAAGTTGAGTCCTTTGGTACAGACTAAATCTAATAAGTTACTAGGTAATGGATTAATGGATAACATAAGCTACCAATCTGTAGAAGCTAGGGCCAGCTCGTTATCCGAGGGGACTGCTTTGCATCACCAGCAAAGAGCTACAAATTCTGGACTCAGTCCTGCTGGTGTTCTGTGAGCTAGTAGCAGTACTGGGCCTTGTGCATGAGTGGCCCGTGGGGCTGGTTGGGGGTATGTGCAAATGGGGTCCAATTCAGTCTTCCTCATGTAGAAGCCTTGTAATTGGGAAGCGCAGGGCCTTTGGTCGGGGGGCGAGGGCAGATGTGCACTTCCAGAAGAGACTTGTGACCCGCAGTTAAGAGACACGCCAGGAACGCCATTGGGCTATGTGGTTATTGGGCTATGTTGTATCCCTAAGAGCCATCACAGACGCTCCCTTGTATACCTAGGGGTGGGTCTGTACTGACCTGTGTGTGACTCTCCATTTTCATGCATTCTCTTCTCCAGGGGCAGGCTGCTACATGGACGGCACTTTACATATAAAAGCATTACAGGGGATACCGCAATCACGTTTGTATCGACGGGAGTAGAAGGAGCCTTTGCTACCGAGGAGCATCCTTATGCAGCACATGGGCCTTGGTTGCAAGTAAGAGCCTCCATTTTTCTTCTTCTCTTTTCCCTCCTTTCTTTTCAGCACCTTCAGAAACAATCCCTTTGTACAGGTGTCTCTGGCCTAAAACCCTTACCATAAACTCCTACATCGGGCTGCAGCTTTTCTACTGATAATCCCGATTGTTACATGGTACGCAGTCGCTTCAGAAGCAATGACAAATGCAGAACGGTCCCAGTTATGTGAATGGAATTTGAAGTAGCAAATATGGGTTGGCAGTTTCTCTTCCCTTACATGAATACTGCAGTTTTCATCTCTGAGCCTCAGATCATTTCACAAATTCTCCATGTTTTGGTTCATTCCTCCTTCCACTAGAGGGCAAACACCTTAGGGGTATAACATGACCAGGAATTAGCCAGGACCATCAAGATTAACAGTTTACTTGTGGAGGGAAATTATGGGCTCTCACCCTAACCCCAGAAGTGTCCAGGAACTGTGTTTTACATGGTCCCCAAAATAGAGCGCTAACCACAGCACATCATCCTGTCACATCCTCCCCACCTCAGCCCACCACACAATTTCCTGCACCAGCTCCCTGGATTGTCCTTGGTTTCCCCATCCGCCTAGTAACAAGGGTTAAACCCTGGTTCACTTAAGGCCGCCAATGGTGGGCTGATGTTGCCATTTCCTAATCTTGCTTATGGCCAAGCAGAAATACCCTTTTTGCCAGAATAAAATCGCTTTGGGAGGCTCTGCTCAGAAAAGTTAGATTTCTAAAGAATTAGCTGTTTGGTGCACATCCCCACCCCCACCCAGGGTGTACTCCTGTTTAAACGCTGGCTTGGATCCCACTATTCCAGTATCCAATTAAGCTGCCCTGTCTACTTTTCAAGGCATTGCAGTGTGTGTGTTCACAGATCTGCCAGAAACAAGACGTGCAAAAGTTCAACTCCTAAAGGAACTGGCTCTTGGTAGAACCCGTACACAGTGCGCTCTCTGAAGTTGCTGGCTTTGAGTTTGGAGCCTGGGTAGCCCAGCACTCCTGCAATGATTAACAGCCAACGGTCGGTTTAAAGGGTGGGTCATTCACTGGGAGGTGCTTGTGCTGACCCACATATGACACGCACGAGCTTGTGCTTGTAACTCCAAACAGAACAGCATTTGCTTGAGTTGACACCCCGTCCTGACGTGTATTCATGTGTAGAGCAGCCAGGTAGCCTGTGGCAGGTGGAGAACGGCAATAATTAGCCTTCCTTCAGACATAGAACTAATACTCACCCTTAGCTAACGCCCAGTCGTCTGTTACTGGGACCTGAAGATTTACTGGAGTTTCATGGGGCTACTGGGAGGTAGGGTCCCCATCTTGCCTCCTGCACTGGGGAACTTCTCTGCTCTTCTGATGTGACCTGCTCCCCTTGCTGCTGGTCACTGCCCAGTCCCGTTGAGTGCCAGCAGAGGTAAGGAGATCAAGCTGCAGATAGGCAGGGCCCAGCAAGGAGCACTGAAGGGCGCACACCATTGGGAACAGCTGGTGGGGTGCCTGAGACTCTTGACTCAGTGAGAGGAAGGAGGGGTCTTTTTCGCGTGAGCAGCAGCTGAGGGGTTGCGTGAAGATGTGAGGTCCTAAAGACAAGCCCTTTGGCTCCAGCCTACGTGGCAAGAGAAGGTGCGATTCACAGGAGACATGATGGCGACCTCCAGGCCAGGTTCTCCTCTTCGCTGCTGGAGAGCAGGGCAGGCACCATCCAAATAAAGCCTGGGGTTTGAGCCCCCCAATCCCTGCGCACCCTCCTGCACCCCAGCCCAGAGCCTGTCCCCAAAGCCTGCACCCCCCCGTCAGAATCCTTGCTCCTCAACCCTCTTGCCCCGGCCCTGAGCCTCCTGCCACACTCAGAACCCAGTGGCCCCACCCCTCCCCATGAACTTTGTTGTGTGCCAATATGGCCTCACCGCTGTGCCTCACGACACCTCCACCGTGGTGCACAGCAGAGAATTCATTCTGCTCAGGGTGGGCAAAATTAGAGGAAGCCCTGCTGGAGTCCTGGCAGCTCCTCAGTACAGTGACCCTCCTGGTAGCGAACCTCTAGAGCCCTCCAGCACTTCCATCAGAATTGTAAGGTGTCTGAATGCTGCAGTTGGAAGGAGCGCCAGGCCCTGGGACAGTTGCTCCCCTTTCTCACCCCGTCCTCCCGTCGGCAGGCCTGCCTGCACCCTACTTCCTGCCCAAACCCTGCAGTACCCCCGGCCCCTCCTGCAACTACTTTGCCAATATGGGTGCTTGGCTGGGGGTCCGTGGAAAGGTTTGCCTCGTGCAGGGGGGGCTGTGGGCCAGAAAGTTGGAGAACCGCTGGTTTAGTCAGGAGCAGACTCTTGGTGCTGCAGCTTTACCCCGAGAGGGAGACCTCACACGCACAGCCAGCATATTCCAGAGCCATCGTGACTTTCATCCTTGCAGAATTTAGCATTTCTAACATGGCTGGGCACACGCGGGTTTCTGGAGGGGCGGCCAAACCTTGGCCCTTCGGTTTCACTTGAACCCCCCTAAGTGCAGTGATAGAATTGTGGACTTGCTCTCTGGAGCCTTTGCAAGTGAGATGTGGGACAATTTAGCAAGGGATCTGCAGAGCCACCAGACTGTGTGAAATGGAGCCGGAGTCTCTCAGCTGCAAGTTGTGGGCAGGCAGGATCTGACCTGGAAAGCCCCCGGTGTGGTGTGGTGTGGGCTGTGCAGAGTTGAAGGAAATGTTCTGGAAGCCCCAGCTGGACTCCTGAGCGGTTGCTTATGAATATTGCAAACCGCCAGTACAAAGGCTGAACGATGCTCCAGTGTGTGAAACTGGTTGCAGCAGGTCTGGAGGGTGGAATATCTGCGCCCAGGTGCTGAACTCTGAAAACGGGGGGGCTTCTCTGGAGGGAACACGAACAGGTACCCTCCCCAGCTGGTTTGCTTCCCCAGTCGTGGCCAAAAGGTTTCACAAGAGGAAAGGGCACACCCAGCTTTGTGCAGAAAACCATTGAATCCCTCCCCCCTCCCCGATTGCACTGCCTTTCCCATAGCGGCATTGCAACAGAGAGTCTGTTGTTGCTCTTCACAGAGCTAATGAGCTGCCCCATCATTTATGATCTCCCTGCAGTATCCTGTGGATAAGATCTGCAGCCCATCTCAAAGGGAGACTCTGGGTTCAGCTCTCCGATACACAAAGAACAGGGCCTGTTTGTTCCGTGTGAGCTTCTAAGATTTACCTCCCAGAGGAAATTAAACTAGATGCCTAGAGCTACAACGGCCTGTCCTGTTGATTTGCTGGAATGTCACCTTTAATACCATGCGCATCTAATGCCTGTGTGTTAATGTGGCGGTGTGCTCGGCAGGCACGGGCACGCTAGCGGACTGAAAACCAGGGGAGCTCGGTGTGTCAGAGGGCACTTGGTGCTGATGTTTTTATTTTCAGGCTCTTAGTAAGTATCATAATAAACGGAGCTCTCTTCGGGATGAAGATCTGAGCGGGCTGTGTGCTCCTGCTTTAATACCCATCTTACCTTTGGGCTGGGCTAATTCTTCTAGGAGGAACCTGGTTTCAGCTTGTCCAATATAGCTGCGGCACTAGCCTTGAAATCATCTCAGCAATTAGAGATGGCTGCCTACCCCCAGCACTCTCCAGAGAGCATGGGGGTGAGGATTTTCCCCACCTGCCTGGCCTAGCATCTTTTCTTTAATACAAAAATACAATAAAAAAGCCTCACACACGTCCCAAGGCACCAGGGCACACTATACATTTGGCTGCTCTGTGCTGCCAGCGATCCTTCCGTGGGAAAGGAGGCCTCCCGCCACCCGCACCAGGACCAGAATTGTGCTGGTGAAGAGGCTTTGTGCTCTTGCTTCAGCTGGAGTTACCTGCTGGCTGGTTAACGTCTGTTAGCGAACACGTTTGTAGGTGCTGGTCTAGGTATGCCACGGTCTAGGTATGCCGAAGGTCCAAGGTTTGGCTGCCCCTCCAGAAACCCGCGTGTGCCCAGCCATGTTAGAAATGCTAAATTCTGTAAGGATGAAAGTCACGATGGCTCTGTAATATGCTGGCTGTGCGTGTGAGGTCTCCCTCTCGGGGTAAAGCTGCAGGACCCAAAGGGGGGCTGTTCACCCGAGGGCTGCACCTTCTGCCTATGGGCCTCTCCTTAGACTGTGCACCTCCTTCCCGGCTCACCGCCACTGAATCATTCCTCCACCCCCCCGTTCTCCGCTTGATTCATTTGGGCCTGTATTTCTCCTTCCTCTCTCTCCTCTGACACCCCAGAATGTCCCTTGGGCTCCTTCCCTATGACCCGTGGATGTTATTCCTGATGCCACATCTGATTTTTATCATTCTTGCATCCCCACCCCCTCCAGCCCTCTCCTGCTCATCTGTCACTGCTGAGCATGCATTTCCTCCTTACCCATCCCTCTGGTTGCTTTGGCTGCTGGTTCCTTCCTCTTGTTTCCTGCTGGGTATTTTGCTACATTTGCTGTATCCTTCTCTGTCCTCCACTGTGAAAGGGAAGGGTAGAGCAAAGGGAGGAAAAATCTCACCCCATTGCTGCTGCTCTGTCACTCCCTGCCAGGCTGCCCCTGAACAGAAGCCTTACCCGCTGCATGAATACGAGAGCTAGCCACGCAGGTGGCTGCCGGGTTTCTGAGCAGGGCTGCCTTTGGTTGGGAGAGGGGAACTCTTTAGGGTCTTCAGCCCTTCCCTGGACAAACCGGTATTTCCAGTTCAACGTGCACCAGGGCTGCCATCTCCCCTCAAGGACCTTGCCCACCTCCGTATAAATCAGTCGCGCTCGTGCACGTTTGGGTGTAGTGTGCCAGCCGGAGACAGCAGGCGGAAGGCCCAGCATACCCAGTCGTAGATGCACAGTCCTCTGATTGTAGCCAGAAAGCCTCCTGGAGCATGCGTGCCTGTGGTCTGATGGAGCTGAAACTCCAGGCTCCCCACACTGCCGCAGTCTGCTGGGCATCAGGAGAGGAATGTGAAATCCTGTTTGATTGCGTAACTGGTTAATCGATTAAAAGGGGGAGTGGACAGGGGGCCACATCAGCCCAGCTGCCGAGGTTCCCCCGCCACCACTGGGCTGGAGCGGCCCCTGTTCTTGGCAGGGCCACCCTGAGGCTGCCCGCAGTAGGTGGGGAGCTGCTCCAGCCCCCACTGGTTAACCATAACCGGCAAGCCTCACCCATTAAGGGAGACGCTTCCCAGTTAACCATTCCCATCCGACTCCAGGAGTTGCCTCGCGCCACGTCTGAGCTCTGGTGTAGACTGAGCGCGCCGTGGGGCAGAGGCGGTGTCTAACTCTTCAGGCGGGGTCCAAAGCAGGTGGTGTCATGCATGACTAGCATGTGGTAGCTTGGCTAGCCAGTGCCTTTTCCACCCATCTTGCAGATGGAGGGATACCCAGACTGGGGCCTTGGGTTCCCAGTATATACATCAGAACTGGCTAGGGGTCTGCAGCATCCCTGCTCGTATGTGCCTCCCGCCCCGGGAGGCTGTCAACAAGCAGCACTGATGAGCTGCAGCTTGGGTGGAACGGCGCCTGGCCCCTTTCAGCACTGGGAGCTGGGGAGAGCCGGGCTCTTGGAGAGGAAACGCAGCGCTAGGGGCGGGAGTGGCTTTGCAAGGATGAGGGCAGAGGAGGGAGACGGCGGTGCAGGCAGGGAAGCGGCGTGGGAATGCCAGTCGCTGCTGGCTGGAGAGGTGCCGGGGCAGGCTGGCGTGGAAAAAGGAACACGAGGGGAAACAGACCAGAGTGCTAGGCGGAAATGTGCTAAGTAACTAGCCTCCGGGTACCCAGACACACCGCCACCTCGCCCAGCGCCCCCTCCTGTACCCCTAGTGGCTGCTCCTGCGTGGGTCTGTGGGGCTACCCCCCTCCACCAGGGCTTGCGCTATGCTGAAGAGAAGCGGTGTGCTTGCACGTGCTGACACCGCGTGTTTATTGTTAAAAGGGTGAGGGCGGATCCTGTCGGTGGGTGTATCTGACTTCAGGGGGCCTCTGTTGACTTGCATCCACGGGGATCTGGCCTCCTGGGTGGGGGGCGGGCTGTAATCAGAAGTTCTTGTCCCAGGGGCTCCCTGTCTGTGCAGTGAGGTGAAGTTCATGCTGAGCAGGTTCCAAGCTGTCGCCCCGTCCCCCTGCACCAGCCGTAGCCCAGCTACACTAGTGACTTCAGAGGGCCCGATGAAAGGGTCTGTTTCCCACTGCCTGCCTTGGCAATTGTTCTCTTGACCCTTTGCACCTCCGCTGCCTCCCTCCCTCCCTTCCTTTCTGCAGCTGGCCCTCTAATTTTAGAGTAGGAAGATAATTGATGGTAGCAAAAAATCGCCTTGTAATCTTGGCCTTGGGGGGGGGGGGTAAAGCTAGGAGCTAGAGGCCTCAAACCTTTGTGTCGCCCACGAAAAGTCCGTAGCATCTCCCCTCTGTGCAGAAGAAAGCAGTCTGTCGCTGGGAGTCCCCTAAAGCTCGCAGGGTACCAGAGTAAACGAATGCCTCCCCCTTGCAGATCCTGTTGACGGAAGAGTTCGTAGAAAGAATGCTGGAAGACTTGGAAGATCTGACTGCTCCAGAGGAGGTAAGGCTGCACTGCCCCTGTATCTGGCCAAGGGAAAAGCGGCACGGTTAGCATGTGGTGCTAGTTTCTGAGTTAGGTGCCTCGCAGCTCTTCCCGCAGCTTCGGGGCTCGCCCCACCCTTGGAACGCGCTGGCGTGAACCCGGCCCCTGGAAGAGAAGGGACCGTGGAAGCCACTGGGGACCTGCAGCTCTTCCAGCAGAGCCACGGGGGTGGGGGGGTTAGCGAGGAGGCTCCAGACTGCACTGATTTAGCTCGCTTCCCCACGGAGCCTACACTGGTGGGGGTCCCGCCAGCCCGTCCCCAGCAGAGAGCAGCAGGTTGGCAGCCGTTGCCGGTGCATTGGGGAGCAGCTTGTGCCCGTTCTCTTGCAGCCCTGGTGCCCCCCCAGCAGCGGGGGACAGACAGGCTATCCGTCGCCACTTATCGTTGCACATTCGAACCTCTTCGGGGTGGCCGAGGGGGTCAGGGAGGCTATTTAATACCCGCTGCTTGTCCCTAGTCAGTTCCCTTCCCTCCCAGGCACACCCAGACCCCCCTGGGCAGCCTGGAGCCGCAGCCGCACACGGTGCCGGACTGACGCCCCTCCCCAGAAGCATTGAACGCGGCTCTCCCCTTCGCTCCCTATAAATATCCTGCCTGACTTCAAAGGGCAGTGGCAGCAATGACATCTCATATTTTTAATCCCATTTTTTACAGCTCCCTGCAGACTCTAAAGAAACTTTCCTTGGCTTCTAGAGCAGCCCGCCCGCCCGCCCCTTGCCCCACCCTCCATGCCCGGGTGGTTGGAGGCTGAGCTGCCGGAGGCCAGGGTTAGAAGTGCTCTGGGAAGGAGCACAGCCACCCCCTTGTCAGCAAGGCGGGGTGGTTGGAGGCAGAGCTGCTGGAGGCCAGGGTTAGAAGTGCTCTGGGAAGGAGCACAGCCACCCCCTTGTCAGCAAGGCGCGATCGGGCCAGCTTTTAACTCTTTAAATCCAGGCCAAAGATCCTTTGAGCCAGTGACTTGCTAGCACAGAAGTGACCCTATTGGAGCCCCTTTTGCTGGGGCTCCTGGCCTGGAGCTTAGCTGGGTGCTGTACGTGGGGTGATTCTGTAGCGCCAGACGAAGGGTGAGGCAGTGGCTCCCGCGCTGCTGTGACGTGACTCGTTTCCAAAAACCACCTTGCCATAGTCTTCTCCGACACGACCATTGCGGATCCTTCCCAGGTTGAACGAAGAGCAGGTGGGAGATGACCCATTAGATAGTTAAGACCTTTGGTCTCCCAAAAGCCTGCAGGACTTGGTAAGTTACAGGCCCCTAGTGAGCAAAGAGTTTGGGGTTGACATTGCCCAGAGCTTTCGTTGCCAGGCAGTGGGGGGGTGGCTTTGCATTCACAGAAGAGGCAGGGCTGGGTGAGTCAGCCCCACCGCCCAAACGCAGGGCTCCGGAGTGTGTCTCCGTGACCGTTCTAAATGGATCGGAGCTCCAGGTGTGCAACAGTTGGAAACCCCGAGCCCGTTAGGATCCTGGGGCAGTTTGTCCTCTTCCTTCCCCCAGTCCCTCCCCCTCGGCGGGCGTCTTTGGGTTGTTTCCGACACCCAACAATGTCGAATGAAAAACCTAGTGTCAGGTTCTAGGAGGAGAACCCTCCTTCGTGGCGTAATGAGCCGGCAGTGGCAGGTGAAATGAATACCCGGAGCACCACCACACGCATCTGGCTGAGCCCCTCAAACTCATGCTACGCCTATATTGTGTCTCTTCAGCCATGGGAGACTGGTCGGTGGTTCTGTGCAGGGGTGCTAGTGATGGAGAGGACCCGTAGGCGGAATCAGGAAGAAGGGTGCGGGTCATACACAGCTCATAAAACAATCGGCAAAGCAATGGAACCTGCCCAGGTTTTATGCGCTAGAGGAGTAGAACAATGTCAGCCTAGAAGCTGGGAGAGGGGCAGGTGTAGCCACAAAAATTCCATTCTTGGAATGGTGACAGGTTAATGTAGGGGGCCTGTGCTGCTTATGCCCCCCTCCAAGAGACTTGTACCCAACATAGGTAGGTCTACATGCCGAGGAGCTGAACAGCAATTGTTCGTGCGGCTGAGCCCACTCCGCGGCCTTCTTGCTTCTAGTGTCAGTGAGCTAACTAGAGCACAGCGACACTCACCCCTGGCTGCAGTGTGGACAGAGCCGCAGCTTACGTGGGCACGTGTGACTGCGCTGAATTTGGCCCTAGATCTTTCACTGGAAGGGAACCCCTGGCCCCAGTTCAGAATGGAGCATCTCACTACCCTTCCCAGTCGAGAGAGGTCCCAGGGAGATGCCCCTGGTCACAGATCCGGTAAAATCCTTCTCACAGCTAGAGCTAGGCTAGTGATTTGTTGTCCGGATGTTTCCCGGGCTTTGGCTGCACTGGCTGCGAGTGACTGGGGCAGTTCTGTTCCCTGAAACAGCTTCCAAGACCAGGTCATTGCATGTTCATGGGCAAATGTGTCATCTAGACAAGCCCTAACACACACGAGGCTGCTTTAAATACATTAGCTGCCATTGTGTGCAGCCAGGAATTTTTGCCCCCACTTTCTGTTCCTGGCCGTCCTTTTCCACTCTGCCTGGCCTCCGCCCAATCAGCAATGGGAAGCAGATATGAAACAGGTCTGGGATCTTTCTCCACTCTGAGAAGCTTCTCCCCTAACTCCATGATAGCCCCTAATGCCCATTGCCCCAGAGCATGGCTTTTCCAGTGCTCTACCTGGGCTTATCCCTAGTGCTGACGCCCTCCCATTTGCTTTCTGCCCTAGCTAACTCTTGCAGGGACACTGACTTCCTATGTGGGCCAGTCCCCTTGTTTCTCCTGGCAGTGCCTGGTGCATCCCCCTGCAGAGCTGGCTTTGACAGAGTTGTTCTGGCACGTGAGTGTCTCAGCCGTGGCCCGAGCAGTGCACTGTGAGAACTCCTGATGTGTCCGGGGGTGCCCAGCGCTGGCTGTGGGAGCCAGGCTTGGGGGTAGGAGGCTCTGCAGGAGGGATGGAGCGAGGCCTAGCTGAACCGGAGCGGCTGTAATATTCACAGATTCCCTCCGGCGAGAAGCCGCCGTTGGAAGCGGTGGTGAACGAATCGAGATTCGCGCTCACGGGAATATCCAGTGTTGGAAGTTGCCACGGGACTGGAGCTGGGAACACGTGTGGATGTGAGCTTGGCATAAGCACTGCCAAGTCAAGGGAATTGGGGCGGAGCTTTTTTTGCTGTAAATACAGTGGCCTAAGGGTGGCCTTCAGGGACACTGCCTCTCCTCCTCCATGACTTAGCAGCTGGCCATGTGCACCCATTTTCTGCCTGCTACATACGGGGCCTGACAGCCTCACGTGGCCTGAAGAACCTTAAAGCCATGGTCTGATTCTTGCTTGAAAGGAAATGAGGGGGCTGCTGGGGGTGGTTGGAGGAAACACGGTGACGTGGAAAGAGAGAGACTTGCAAGCTGCAGACTTGCACGGAGCTGAGAGGGCAGGGGAGATGGTGGTGGGAACGTAACCCTGGCAGGATCCGCCTAATGAAATGAACAACACTCGGGCTGTGATCCCATAGCTTTACTTTGGCAGCAGAGACACAAACCACATTAGCTAATGTCCACTGCGGTCCAAAATCTACTGATGGGGGCGGGGGAATGTTTTCTGAGTGGCCCTTTGCTTTGAAATAAAAAAAAAAACCCTTTTGCTCTTAAAGGGAGGGCTGCCTGCTGTGAGAATAGCTTTGGTCTCATATGGGTTAGGCTGCAGGGAAATATGTTAACTGTCTCCCTTGATTGCCTCCTAGTTTAAACTTCCCAAAGAGTACAGCTGGCCTGAAAAGAAACTGAAAGTCTCCATCTTACCAGACGCTGTATTCGACAACCCCCTGCCTTAGAGCTGACTGACACCCTTCCGACATCTGGGAGAGCCAAGTTACTCCACGTTGCCCCGGGACTCACAGGATAACGAATGCAATAAGAACGATACCTTCAAATAAAGGGGATTGCTGCACAACCACTACAACCAGAAGAGGAGTCGTCCCCCCCCCCAACCCTGGCAGAACTGAACAATGCTGAGAACCGTTCTTCCCTCGTGCCAGGAACAGCCTGCGAATGTTTGAGTGCGAGTGAGAAATATTTAACTATGAAAAGTAGTGGTAAGAATCTGTGGCCTAGTCTAGCTGGCTACAAAGGTCCCTGCAGTTGTAGCCTAGGGGGTCTGTACTTTGTACGCCTACAGTTACACGTCCACGCCTGCAGGTACAAGCGCAGAATCAAGGGATGGACTGTCCCATACGTGACTCTGGAATCCTTCTCGTTAGCCGCATTTCTCCCAGCTGCAGAACTCTTCCTCCACGCGCTGGTTTCTCTTTTCACACACGGAATGGTGCTCGTGGAGGCCAGACGCTCGGGTGTAAAGTGAACTGTCCCGTTTAGTAGAAAACTACCCAAACGCCCCCTACAAGGGTTCAGAAAGGGCCGAGTGTTGAGCTCCATGTGGTGAGCTCTGGTATCACTGCAAACAGGCAACTTGCTTCTCGCACCCTCTGGCCTGGCGTCTGAATGCATGAGCCCCGGAGGAGGTTGTGACCTTTGCTTTTGCTCAGGCGGGAGGAAGAGAGGCTACGGGCGGGGGAGGAGACCTCCTGATTACAGAATGCTGCTCTCTAAAGGGACGCTGTCACGGCCTTTTCCCCTGCCATTGTGCAGAATCCCTTCGGGCCCCGGCAGTGGGAAAGGCTCTGTGTGCTCAGAGGGGCCGCTCTCCAGGAACCGGGGGCTGCCCTGAATGGCTTAAAATGGAGACTCTGTCCACCCTCCGTCACCAGAGCGGAGCCGCCAGCGGAGTCCTAGAGGAAAGCCCTGCAAACACACCCTGCCGGGGACCTGCTCACCCCACCGTTGTGCTTGGCACGATTCCAGCTTGCCAGACTGCGTTGGACGACCCGCTGAGAGGGGCCGCTCTCCAGGAACCGGGGGCTGCCCTGAATGGCTTAAAATGGAGACTCTGTCCACCCTCCGTCACCAGAGCGGAGCCGCCAGCGGAGTCCTAGAGGAAAGCCCTGCAAACACACCCTGCCGGGGACCTGCTCACCCCACCGTTGTGCTTGGCACGATTCCAGCTTGCCAGACTGCGTTGGACGACCCGCTGCCGTTCGGGGGGGGGGGGGGGAGGAGCTGATTGGCAGGGTCCCCCCCAGCTGCATGGTAGCGTAAGCTTCCCGCTCTGCTTCCAACGTGCAGCTCCCTCTCCATCCCAGTGGCCTCCCGTAGGCCCAGATGCAGCGTGTGTGGGGAGAGCTTTTGTTTCTGCGGGTGGCAGCCTGGCTCTAACAAGCAGGCCCGTTGCAGGGGCCTTGCAGATGGGCTGCAGGCTCTCCCGCGCGTCAGTCCTTCCCCGGCCAATTCTGGATTGTTCTCTAAAGCCGACTCGCCCGTGCTTTCTAAGGCCGTATTCCCTTGGGTCTCTAATTACGTGGCTGCAGATTTCTCCCCCAGCCTTTCCGCTCACAAGCTAATGTGGCCATTCCTTCGTTTACGGTGGTAGACAATAGTTGTCACGGGTCTTAACGCGGCCGTGGCAACAGCTTTTAACGACTGACTGCCTTTGCTCAGACGGCGATGGCTACAACGGGTCCTAGCCTCACAATGGCGGTGGTGGTGGCCTTAATTTCCTCCCAGCAACCGGGGGGGTTTGTCAACCTGTTTCACACACATTCTGCAGCTGGTAGATGATGGCTGTGTCGTCCTAAGGTTGAGGCATGTATCTGGGAGCCAAGATTTCCCGTGTGACAGGCTGTAGGCAAATCACTTCTCTTCCTCCCCTGCAATGTGAACAGTATTTCAGGGAGGTGGGGATGTCTAGTCCATTAGCATCTCTGAAGTGCACCATGATTCTCGGAGGGAGGGACAAGTGCAGTTATGTTTGTTATTATTTAAGGCAAACGAAGTCCAGGTCCTGCGCTGCTTACATTTTTACAAAGCTCTGAAAGCAATTTAGATGGAAATGAGTCAGTAATTTTGTCTGAACTCTAAGGATCACCTTGAAATCACACTTTTAAAGAGCAGGATTTCAAACCTCTGTGCCAGCTGGCGTGACTGTTGTACGTGGCAGACTGCATTTATCCAAAGGAACCTTTGGCTGGCTGTCAGCGTCCCATTACTTAATGTGTACACCGGTTCGGTCTGTCCTGTGCAGGTTGGTGGGAGTTGTAGATGCATCTCCACGGGCCAGTGGACTAGAGAGGGACTGAAAATTGGCATGCAGATCTCCCCACCCAGACCAAACTTGGCTCCCCTTCCCACCTCACTGGGAAGAAATCAAGCAGGAGCGGCCAATGACGTGCCCGTTCGCAAAAGGGGGAAGTGGGCAGTGAGAACTTTGCCCTAAATCCACAGATTTCAGGCCAGGCCTGTGAACCGTTGTCGAGTGGCAAGCGCTAGCCTGGGGTGTCTGGCAAGCTGGCTGCCTGCCGCGCTGCTGGCTCCTCTTCCTTATTTCCAGCTGTGAAGTCTCGTGAAGAGAAGCTGAAAGAACAGGACTTTCCTAGGGTGATTTGTCCGTGTCAGCAATTGCTGCTGTTCCCACAGAAGTCACAAAGGGGCAGGGACCAGGCACCCCTGAGTTCTGTCCCCCCTCCCTAATTCGGCTTGAGACCCTGGAAACCTTTCCACAAGACAAGCGCCATCAAATACCTTTGCTGCAGTGGTTTTGTCCAAATCGGCCTCTCCGGCATGTGTGTTCTTCCATTGTGCATTGGCTCCTGTGGGACTCTGTGGGTTGGGTGCTCGTTGGCTTGAGAGAGAGCTGAGAGGCCTGGTCTGTGCTGAGGCCTGGTCTGTGCTACGTGGCTAGGTCAACGTAAGCTGCTGTGTGTCAACCTCGCTGCGGAAGCATCTTCACTTAAATTTGGCTCCTGTTGATGTGCCTCTGTACCAGGGATGTGAACGGGTCACCGCTTACCTGGTTAACCAGTGTTTGGGAACAGCCCCCCGACGCGGGCAGGGGGCCGCTCCAGTTCCACGAGGGTTGGGGGCCAGCCGCCCTGCACCTGGGGGGGCTGCAAGCAGCTGACCCCACCTCCCACCAACCCCTCACTCATGAGCTAGTTGGGGGCTGCTGTCAAGCTGGAGCAGTCCCCCATGGAATCCTGCTTAACCAGTTAACCGGATAAACCTAAGGTTTAACTAATTAACCAGGATTTTACATCTTTATGCCGGTTTAATAACCCACCTCCCCGGGGTAGAGCCACTGTTGATGTAGTTACATGGTCACAGTGTTCGCTTATGTCGACTGTTACTGGCTGGCAGGAGCCATCCCACAATGCCCCACACTGACAATATGCCCTGTACGAGCACTCCCATGAGGGTGCGCTGCCAACACAAAGCCAAGTGCGCACATAAGTGGTTTATAACTATGGCCGCCGTATGCCAAAATAAATTAGGCTGACACACATTTGTAATGTAGACATGACTGGAGTGCTTCGGAATCCCAGCCGTGCCCTCACGTGCATGTGTGTGTATCTGTCATGGATTTATAGGTCGGTATCGGTATCTGAGTGATGACCCGCTGGCAAGGCAGGTTCCTTTTCTTTCAAAGACACTTTCCTGACAAACCCTATTCCTAAAGCCGAGCTGGTTGCCAGATTCCAGTTTCTTTCAAGGGAAGGAAGGGGGGTCGTCCCAATCAATTTAGCCAACTCAGTAAAATGCATCACTGTGACAGTGGCAATCTCCGGTTTATTGCCAGCATCTCCAAAAAGGAGTCCCTGGTGAAAGGCAACTTCGTAAATCCGATGTCGAACTCCCCTCTTCGTTATTTACACCAAGGACGTTGCACGTTAACCAGTACTTACCATTCACCATTTCTTCCCCGTCGTGCCAAAGATTGTTCAGTTGGCAGCTAAACTAAATCTTGAGGTTTGGTCTTTTTCGGGTTGTTTTTGTCTTGGGCAGTCGTGGAAGGGCCAGGGCAGGAGGGCGACATGTTCAGGTGACGTGCAGAGAGAGAACTTTTGAATATATCTATTTTTTTAAACTAGTAAATGGCTTGAAAGGGCAAAGACGTAAGTGTTAATTCCAAGGTGGTTTTCCAGGCCAGTCTTGCTGAGTGACAACTCCGCTCATGCTGCTTTTAGATTTTTTTTTTTTTTTCAGGCTGGTGGAAATTTGAGCAGGGATTATACAAAAAAACCAAACCATGCAATTTGTGTTGGCTGGAAGCAGTGATCCAGATGAAAATCACATTTTAAAATAAGTGTGTAGAGGTTTCTCTTCCCCCTACCCAAAAAGAGAAATCTGTCAATGCAGACAGATAGGACCACTTCCTTACGGCAGACCTGTGATGCCTTGAAAGTCTTGCAGGGGAACAGCAACCTTAAAACAAGAGAAATCCCAGGAGGCGCAAACACTCTTCCCCTCACGTACTTGGTTTCAAAAAAATTACAGTATTAAAGAAACCAGGCTCTCAGCAGACCAGAGAGCGCCCTTTGGCGTGACCTAGAGTAATATTTTCCGTGGATTAGATATAGAATATCTGCTCTGTGTAATGGCTTTGAGGACAGAAGTGGGTTGGTTTGTTGTACACAGATTCTCCGAGAACGATTTGAGATGGCATGCCGAAGCCCTGTGTTTTGAATATTCTGTAGCTCTTGAATGGTTTTTAAAAGGACCCTCCAGTCACAAGATTGTCTTTGAGGAAATAAATATTTGTTTACGAAATTTGAGACCAGTAGAAATACTTAGAGGATGGAATTTAAACTAGTTGAATGTAAATGAATTGATGCATAGATGGTTGGATAGAGACTTGCCCTGCAGTGCCTGTGACCCCAGTGTTGAAAATTGTACGATTGCAAGCAAACTTGGAAGTGAAATTAACTAAAACCAAAGGGAATCTGACTTGGGACCCAATTCTGCAAAGGGATCCATGCAAGCAAATCTCCATTCCACTGTTGAGTCCCACTGATGCTAGTGAGGACTCCAGGTCTGCTTGTAGGAATCCCTCTGCAGTCTTGGCCCTCGGTCTGCATGGATTGTCTGTGCAGAAAGTAAGCGCTGGACATGAAAAACAAAAGCAAATTAAGAGTTTAGTGTCATTTGTGATGTAGAGAGCAAACAGATTGGTTTTCCCCGGCATCGTCCACAGTCGGCTGCCTTGTTAGCAAATGGAAGGGGAAGTTAGGATGTGGCTGCTGCTTAGGCTTGTAATCATGAACGGTTTACAGACGTAGCTGCTGCTTCTCTCTCCCTTGTGAGACTCTGCAGGCTTGTTAATTGAATAAACTTCATCACCATGACTCATGCACTGTGCATTTACCACATCAAGCAAGTTAGCTAAACTCTTTCAGGCCCTCCATTTAGAAACATGCTGCAGCTCACGCTTTTCTCCGGTGGGGGGCAGAAGCCGTATCTTCTCTTCCTTTGTTCTGGCCTTTTCATTGCTCCAAAAGGCCTATCCGGAAAAGGATCTAGGTTGCTCAACAGTTCGTCTTGCACCTGCTGTTTATTGCACCTGCTGTTTATTCCTGCCTCACGTATTCCCATCCAACGTCATACCCCCGCTTTGTGGCCTGGCAACAGCAGGGCTAGCTAGCAGTGGGGCGAGGAGTGTCACTTCAAGGGGCAGGACATAGAGCACTGGTCTTTTAAAACCAGCCCGTACGGATCATTAGATCATCCAGTTTGACTTCCTGTGTAACCCAGGCCATAAAACTTCACCCAGTCTACTCCTGCACTGAGGCCAATACCTTGGTTGTTCTAAAGCATCTTTTAGATCAGGGGTGGGCAATAATCTTTGAAGGGGGCCAAAGTCCTCGCGGGGCGGGGCCTTGGGCGGAAGGGGTGGGGTCTTGGGCGGAAGGGGCGGGGCTTTTAACTAGCAGGAGAGGAGAGGGCTGCCAGGCAACATTAGCAGGAGCTGAGAGCCCTTTTGACTCCTGCTATTTAA